TGCTGCCGTCGGTGAGCGAGCTGTCCCGCGCCGCGCGCACCAACATCCTGTGCACCGTGCCCGGCTGCGCCAAGGTGCTGCGCAACAGCCCGGCCCTCAGCATGCACCTCAGCAAGGCGCACCGCCTCCAGGTACCGCGGCGCCGCCCGCAGCCCGGCTGGTTTCCATGGTCCGCAGAAAGGGGCGGGGCCCATTTTGGCCCTAAATGGGGTTGATTAGGGAAGGGGAGCAGAAAGCAGAGTAGCAGCTCAAAGCGGGGGGGGGGGAATTTGTGCCATCCCCCCCCTCCCCCCACGCAGGGATTGGGCATATTCTGTTTCCTTTCATAGAAATTAAGGACTCCCAGAGACTGACGGGCGCAGGCGGTTGTTACTCACCCGGCCCGCAGAAGCAGCGAAGTCGACGGCGTCGCCGCGCCACCGAGGGACGCGGCCAGCTGCGATAATGGCAGCTTTTGTCGGGGGACGAGCTCCCCGGGATGTTCGGGGGAGCGCTCTTGCACGCGCCGCGCTTGCCGAGAGCGCGCCGGAGCGCCGCGACGCCGTTATTTCACGTTTGTAGTTCATCGGGTAGAGAGACCTTAAATGTTGGTCCAACCGGAGCGATGTTTCCCTTCTTTTACTGCTTTCGGTGAAGAGCATGGCGTCAATGCAGCTGTAGATTTTAGTGCTGAAAATACCATCTGTTTCTGCCTTTAAAAGATTTGGCGGTTACCCGGTTGATGTTGGGAGGTCGAGGTGTTTCGAGAGAATGAGCTTTAAAACGCAAAACGGCTCTGGTTTACTCCTCGTGGAGTTTACTGGTGATACTTTCACCTCGGTGGGGAAGGCACAAAATATGTAATCCTATCATGGTTGAATGTAATCCGTCAGACGATCTGCTGCTGTCATTAATAGCTGTAACGGAGACAAGTGCTGAAAAACGAGTAGGAGCGATTAGGTATCAGTCGAACTCCGTTTGTATCTTTATCCTTTTTGGGGGTTTTCTTCTGGGCAGAGACGCTGTAACACATCATCGAGCTCATGAAACCCTTGTGTAGCAGTTATTGTAAAGGGGTTTTGTTTGTGGCCATTGGTAAAGATGCTGGATCTGCAGGTACAGGAGACGTGCTTCAGGTCTGAAGCCAGTAAGTCGAGTGCGCTTGCAGGTGTGTACTTCGGGGGTTTGAAGGACTGAATGGCAAGAATCTTTGTCCTTGGAGGAAAAGAGGGAGAAGTAAAAGCTCCACAAAGTGTTGTTAAAAATATTCCATTTGCAGAGATTTGTTTGCATTGTGGAGGGTGAGGTAGTCAATCATCTTTGTAGGGGCATAGCAACATTAATAAAATATTTTGTGAAACTAATTTGCAACAGTTCCTTCTAGCAGAACCAAGCTTGAATGTGTGGAGAGAGGAACTCATTTTATAGAATCAATATGTTAAATGAAGACACAGGTTATCTTGGTTTGACAGCTGCTTTGTTTGATGGGGTTTTTTTTTTATAAAAATGACCCGTGGAAGCTGACTCTTGCTGGCTTCACTTGTGGGGTTTCTACTCTGCTGTCTGTCAGGCATGTTGTGGAAAGCAATGCTGGAGCAGATGAACGTCCTTTTGCTTCACCCAACGTTTGGAACAGATGAGGCAGCACAATGCTTTTATAATGTCTATCTCAGTCCATTAATCTCTGACTTGGTGCAAGGACTTTTGTCCTGCATAGAGTAGTTTCTGGGGTTTAGATCCACAGCTTGTTTTCATAGTATGTTAGACGAGATTTAACATTAAGGGTTATACTTCTTCGTACACACAGACTTCTGGTTTGCCTCTGAGTTCTCAAATACTTTGGTCACAGCAAATGTCATATCCAGGGTTTTGATTGGAAAAGGTAGTTTCATAGTTGATAGGGTCAGAAGGGACCTGAACAGATCATCAAGTCTGACCCCCTGCCATAGCAGGAAAGGATGCTGGGGTCAAATGACCCTGGCTAGATGTCTATCTAGCCTCCTTTTGAAGACTCCCAAGGTAGGAGCCAGCACCACTTTGCTTGGAAGTTGGTTCCAGGTCCTAGCCGCCCTGACAGTGAAGAAGCGCCTCCTGATATCTAGCCTGAATCTGCCCTCTGCCAGCTTGTGACCGCTATTTCTAGTCACTCCTGGTAGTGCTCGGGGAACAGGGACTCCCCCAGCACCTGTTGGTCCTCTCTGACTAGTTTGTAAATGGCCACTAGGTCCCCCCCTCAGCCTGCTCTTGTGGAGGCTGAACAGGTTCGGGTCTTGTAGCCTCTCCTCGTAGGGCCTGCCCTGCTGCCCCCTAGCCATGTGAGTGGCCCTCCTCTGAACCTCTCCATGCTGTCCACATCCCTCCTGAAGTGCAGCGCCCAGAACTGGACGCAGTACTCCACCTGCGGCCTGACCAGTGTTGCATAGATGGTGAGGATCACTTCCTTGGACCTGCTCATGATGCATCTGTGGATGCAGGACAAGGTGTGGTTAGCCTTCCTGACTGTGGCCCCACATTGGTGGCCCATGTTTATTTTGGAATCAGTAATGACACCAAGATCCTTTTCTTTTCATCAAGGTACATCTTAGGAACATGTGATTGTCCCTCATGGTATGGCAGCTATTTGTTCTTCCTGTGGCACTAATTCTGTTGTTTAGATTGCTGTTTTGTGTATCTAACCTTCCCACCTTAACCTAAAGCTTTTATTGCTAAGCAGCAGTGTAGTGTTTCATTGCCAAGGAGGCTTTACATGTCTGATTTCCTGATGTGATGAGAGATGTTAGCAGTGTTAATCCGAAGTCACATAGATGGCAAGGTAGATTTGTACCTTTATAGACTAATGAAAGTAGGTGTAGGTGTATTGTATTTACCCTAATCCAAGATTACTTCAAATTTAAGATGTCCCTCCCCCCACAGTACTTGGATCCTAGATATAGAAAAATTATGTTTGTTCTAATTTTCCATGTATAGAATCTAATGATTGTAGGGTCCTCTTAAATTTTGCCCCTCCCTGCCTCCTCTGGTAGTGCCTGTACTTGCTGGCACCTTCTTCCCTCTTTCCTCCCGCATGCCCCCAACCTCCAGGCTGTGCCTCTGCCTGCTCCCCTGCTGCTCTTTGTCAGGTACCGCTCTGGCTCCATTCCTCCACTCCTGGCACAGAGAACGTGAGCTATGGTCATGCAGCAGTGGCAGCTTTGGCCTGGGACTTGAATCCAAGACAGTGGTTTTTTTCCCCATACTAGATGGAGAGAATATCATTTTGGATTTGAATAAATATTGTGTGTATATAAGCTTTCATGAGCTGAAACTCATTTCATCAGATGCTGCAAAAGGACACGCAACAAGCCGTGTATAAGAAAGAGGGAGAAATTAGAATACAGAAAGCACAGGAGAGTTGGGGGGGCAGTGCTGGGAGAGGCAGATGGTAGGAGCAATGTGATGACATATTAGCTGTCTGCCCAGTGAGAGAGGGCATTACATACAAGCAAGTCCAATCATATCTTGGCAATGAAGAAATTTGTGCTGGAGAGAGAAGATTCTTTGGCTTTGGAGTCTAATTCTGCAGGGGCCTTCTGTTATTAGGGTTAAGGCAGTCTTTGGCTTCTTGTGGATCTGTAGTTTTGTGGGTCCTTTAATTGCATTGGGAATGTACATGTTTTCTAATGAAACCTGGCATTATCCAGATGTGTACTGGTGTTAGTGTTAGGGACTCTTTCAGTGCTCAGAGATGCTGCCACCTTGCAACGGTCCAGTGCAGGTACTTCCTTAGTGCTGCAGCACAAGACCATCGGGGCATAATCTCTTGTTTCAAGCAGGTCCGTAACAGCAAACAGCAGCATCACCTAAGTACAGGAAGAAAAGTAGCGACGAGCCCTTCAGGAAAGGAGTGCTTGATGCCATTCTGAAAGAGGATGAAACATCCCTCTGGGGTGCTTTTAAATTTCCTGTTCTGGTCCACTGGTACCACAGATCTTACTAGTTTTGCTGATAGCGCTGGTACTGAAGTGTCATGGTTCCTCCCCACCTACCCGTGGTCAATGCAGGAGCTACACCACTATTTCTTTAGTCGTGGTCACTCCTTTGTCCACTTTTCTAGGCAAGATTCCTAGTAGGAGGCGGCAGTGAAGATATGTTTGACTCTTATCATCTTAGCAATGAATGTTCAGCACCACAAATAGGAGCTTGAATAGCTCCACTGGACTAGTTAGTAACTTTTACTAAAAGTTTCTAATAGTCAACATACACTACAGCAAAAATATTATGGGGGTGGTAAATGTAAGGAGCCACAGTTTTTAAAGCAAGTAACTGCTTTTTCCCACTGAGACAGTACAAAAAAATGGGCCAGATCTGCTATCTTGGCGCTGCTCAAAACAAAGCTGCTGGCAATCTGCCATAAGGGAATATCTGGGGAGTTCTTTAGCATAGAGCCAAGATAGCAAATCTTCCATCAGTTGCTTTCCACCCTGGGCACAGGTAGTGAGGTAGAGCTCTTTGTGCAAAGGGTGGAGCCAGATCACACTACTTACTGATTCTTGCAAGAGTAGTAGCCTCAAGAGGATCATTACAAGCTACTGTAACTGATGCTGGGGACTGGTTTGGCTCCTAGTTTGTTCTAAGGTCTGGCGGGGGGGGGACAGGAGACTTTCTATACTAATTTCCTTTACTTGTGCAAGGTGTGCACAGGCCTGTTCCACTGCAGTTGAGTATTTTGCCCCAGGATTCCTTTTTTAACTAGTAGCCTGCAGTTTACCCTAATTGCCCACATGTACGTGACTGAAAGCTGGATAAAGTGTAATAATAGTGGTGAGGTGGAAGGGAGTCTTCCTTGGGGTACAGGAAGGGGATTAGTCTGCTTAATTTTCCCTGGAAAAATCTCTCTCCCAAGCAAATTGTTGAAGTGGTATCCAGCATTTTACTATTTTAATTTTGCTTTCTTTAGCAAAATCAGATTCTAATGTCAATGTGGTCATTAGAAGAAAATACAACTTGCAATATAAATCAAGCTTATATTGAAAATTAAAGCAGCCATGTTGCATTAGAAGACCAAATATTTACAGTGCTTTGGGTATACTGCTGTCAAGACCATTTGATTTTATTAAAATCCAGATGTAAGTTACTTTGTCGAAAGTTTTTGGTGTCATAGCTGAGAGAATTTAATATGTAGAATTGAAATAGTAGTATAACTGCTCCAGGAATCTCTTTTGATTCACTTAGTACTTGTGGTGGTACAGTTATAAAATAGTGCCTGAATGGATGAACATGTCTAATAGTCTTTTAAATAACTTAAGAAGGTCCCTCCAGTATGAATACCAACACAGATAAACTGAGGTGATATGAAGTTTAATCTGTATTCTGAATAATGTATTAGTATCCCAGATGCATAAAGTCTTTGACAAAATTTAATAGAACTGTACTTTTCAGGATGGAAAAATGAATGCAACAATAAGAAAGGGTTTGAAAACTACACAGAAATTGTACTGCTGTCCTATTGAAGGCTGCCCTAGAGGACCAATCAGGCCATTTTCCCGGTTTTCACTTGTAAAACAGGTATTTTTTCTGAACTCCTTTTCTTTGAAATAATGGGATAAGAGAGATGGAGATAATATAGAACAATCCATGGAAAGTACATGTACCTTCTGTGCCCAAATGTGCAGAACAGTTCCATTTTATATGTATACGTTCTAGAGAAAGTGCAGGCAGCCGCCCAACTTTGTACACAGACTACTTTTTCCATAGCTACTTTAGGAGACTTGGCCCTTTGTGTCAAACAGACATTGGCATGTCCAGATCCAGGAAACACATTAAAGTGAACAGCATGGAGAAAGATTAATTATAAAACCCTTACCAAACTTATCTGGCAACATTTCCATAAGTGTCTGGTAATAATGAAAGTCGACCTTAACCCCTTGGAGTGAATAATGCTAAGTTAAAATGAGCTTTTGTCTCCGACAACACTCTCCTTTTGCACAGTTGACTTTTTTTTACACTTGCCATCATTATGTCTTGTTCAGAATATGTGTTGAATTTCTACATTTCTCTGAATAATTAATATTCTGTTGACAATATAGCTCCCACCAATATGAGTTGCTTGTCTTCAACAGCAATCTGCTGTATGATCAGCTTTGGCACTTGGTGGAATTCTCAGCCCCAAATTAGACTGTGCAATGTCTTGGGTGAGCTAGGTCCTTAAGGAAGGGATCCTTGGAAACCAACTGAGTGGAGATCTACCAGGACTTGCTAGTTTAGAGACGCAGAGGAAAAGGCTGAGGTTGAGTACTGAAGGAAAGGGGCTCTGCAAGCGAGATAGGGAGGAGAATGCTTATTTTGAGAATCCTGCTTCGGAACTTTTGGAGCTGCGGTACTTGGTAGCAGTGGCTCCAAAGTTAACTGGCAGCAGTTTTATGAATGTCAGTGGGGCCTACCTGCTTCTCAGCTTTGCTTTCCCTCTATTGTAGAGGGAATGCCTTCTTCAGGATGGCTACAACCTAAACCCCTTCTTCAGGATGGGTGATTTGAAGATTGATATTTATCAAACATCAAGTTCCTTGAAAGAGAAGCATTGCGGACTTGATTCTGTGTACACTAAGTCCATGACAGACGTCTCATGAATTTCAGTAGTGTGAGATTCGTTCCCATAAGGGTTCTGTATAGGTAAAAACCGCAGAAACTACTGATATGATGTCAGTAACCAATCGTGAGATTTCCAACAGGTTCACTTTCTGATATTGTCTGAACAGTTCCTCCCAGGGTGTTTAGAAAGATGATGACAGTGTAAAATATGTATTTAAGTAACTCTTTATCTGTGCAAATCACATCTTGGATGATCAAAAGTGATTTTTAAAAACTACTTCAGTTTATTTTGTTCCACTTCCTAAAGTTGGACTCATTCATCAGTTTCTCGTTGTCATGTCTCTAGCATAGTACTGCATTGTTAGGCCCCAAAAGTGCATGAACATCTTTAAGATTTTAGTGCAAAAGATAAAGGCCTAAGTATATCTCTAGTAGATAGGATCGAGTCTCCCACTCCAATGCTTGCATATTACCTAAAATGTGTTGTGAGCCCTTATACTGTCTGTTCTTTAAATACATGACCTCTTACACAATTCCTTGACAGTCTGACTTCTAATTCTAATTGTATATTTTAGCACTTTATGAAAATGCATGCTGAAAAGAAGCACAAATGTGATAAATGTAGCAACTGCTATGGCACAGAATGGAACTTGAAACGACACGCAGAGGACTGTGGAAAGACTTTCCAGTGTACTTGTGGGTGCCCTTATGCCAGCAGAACAGCATTATTGTCTCATATTTACAGAACTGGCCATGAGATCCCTGCAGAGCACAGGTAAAGGTGAAACTTGGTGATACAACATAAAGTCCTGCGGCATCGTTTCCCTACACACTTTACCTGCTGTTCTATGGATGGGGTTTGAACCAGTCTCTTCCTTGCGTATAATTAACTCCCCTTAATGCGTACGCAGTTGGCAACTAGTTCCTATCATTGTTGTCATCCTAGCCCCACTAAAGGCAAGGGTAATTGATTGCTCGTTGCCACCAGTTGTAGACTTTTACCCTTTAACATCTAGAAGCTCTGCCAGCAGAGATCACGTCACTGGTGATGCCTACTGTTATTCATTTGTTAGCATAATTATTAGTGGTTCTTATTAAAATTGGTCCTTGCAATCCCATGATAATAGCACTCGCTTGGGAATGTGCTGAGTTAATATAGTTCTGTAGTGTGAAATAAGCAGAGTTAATTACATTTTTACTCTTAAAATTTATAGAGCCCCATAAATGCTCTCTCTTAGTTAGCCACCTTTTTCATTAAAAATTGCCATTAGAGAACATATCTTCTGAAAAGGACATATAATTCAAAGTGCTAATGGACAAAATCTATTAACTGAATCCTATGGTACTTTATTTTGCAAACAGAGCTGCTGCAAGATACTTTGTGCTTTCTTGTATGTTTTGGTAAGAAAGTCCAGGCCCACAGTTTCCCTAAGGCTATAGCAACTTGCTTTGGAAAATTCATGGAACAAATAGAGCTTTGTTGCCATAATTTAAAAGATTAGGATTGCCATTAACTGACCTCTCAAATGAACTAAACCTGTTTAAATCAGCTGTTTTATTTTTACACTTTTTTTTCCTAAAATAAGCATTGGCCAACTATATGGGAAGGAAAGGGCAGTTCTTATTGTCTTCATTCTCTACTTTAAAATGCAAAGAATGAAGCTGTCAGTTGGTATGAACAGCTCTGTCCCAGCCTGTAACCTGAACTCATTCCTCCACCCCAGCAGCATTCTGTTGCCATTATTGAGTAAGTCGAGAGGGAGGACTTCATTGTACTTTAAATTCTTGATCTGTCCTGTTTACAGGGATCCGCCTAGTAAGAAAAGAAAAATGGAAACTACAACGCAAAATCAGCACTTGGCAGAGAAAGCAAAGGAAGCATTTATCAGTGCTCACGCCAATCATAATGGCACTCCGGAACTGGAGACGTCCGAGGTGAAACTCATGGCGTCCTTTGAAGGCTCCTGTAGTTCTAATATAAATAAGCAGACGCTATCCCAGCCAAAATGTACGCCGAAGATGCTTTTGCCAAAGCCCAAAGTGGCTTTGGTTAAACTTCCAGCAATGCAGCTGGCTCACTTGCCTATCTTTGTGTCAGCAGCAGACTCCTCTGTCAAACCTGTTGTGGTGGCTGTGGATAATCAAGGCTCGGTTATGAGCACTTTTCACTTGTTACCTCAGTCCATAGGAATTCTGATTCCAGCACTGGAGGCAGAAACGCTTGTGTGTAAAGATGCCGTGCCCGTTTCGAAGGTGGCAGATTCCGGTGATGTTGAACCAGTTAGCACTGGTGTCCAAGTCAACTTGGGTAAAGTAACACCAAATAATCCAGGACAAGAGCTGGGAAATGTCTGTCAAAAGAATAAAATCTCTTCAATAAATGTGCAGACAGACTTATCTTACATTTCGCAGAACTTTGTGCCAGCTGCAGCCTGGACTTCTGATTCTTCTGTCTCGTCTTGCTCTCAGACAGACCTGTCGTTCAGTTCCGAGGTCTCATTACCAATTAGCGTTCAGACTCAGACACTGCTACCCACCTCCAAACTGACTTCATCCATAGCTGCTCAGACAGATGCCTTTGAGCAGGCTTGTTTCCAGTCCTGTGGTGTTTCTAGAGAGACTCAAACCAGTGGAACACAGGACTCTATTGATGGGAGAGTGCATATAGACCAGGCTGTAATGTGCAGCGACATTTTTGACAATGTACATTCATCGTATGATGTTTCCACACAGATTGGATTCTCAGAAAACAATCTAATGCCTACAACGATGCATCAAAACTTGTTGCAAAGAAGCAGCTGCAAGAGCCTGAGTCAGGATGCAATAAAATCTGAACCCATTATCAACTTCAATACGCAGACTAACATGCTTCCACAGCAAAATATGATGGATAATCAAACCCAGACGATGGACTTATTAAATGACCTGGAAAACATCTTCTCGGGTAGCATGTCTGGCCAAACGTTGGATAATCGTGGTCTCTTGTCTGACTCTAGTTCTAGTGCTGACACGCCCCTGCCACCAGCCCCAACACAGAGCACAGGGATAGACTTCGACATTGAAGAGTTCTTTTCGGCATCCAATATCCAAACTCAGACTGAGGAGAGTGAACTTGGGAATCTGAATTCTGAGCCAGTTTTGGAATCTCTGGATATTGAAACCCAGACTGATTTCTTATTTTCAGATAGTGCCACTCAATCCTACAGCTGCCGAGGAAATTCTAACTTCTTAGGCTTGGAGATGTTTGATACACAGACACAAACGGACTTAAATTTTTTTTTAGACAATAGCACACATCTGCCTTTGGGAAGTTTACTAAAACAGTCCAGCTTTTCCATGAGCACCGACTCCTCTGATACAGAAACCCAGACAGAGGTACCTGCTGCTGCTGCTAAAGATATACCTGGTCAAAATCTAGAATCCAAAGTCCAGCTGAATAGTGCTGAAACACAGACTATGGATAGCTCCTTTGAGACTCTTGGGAACTTATTCCTTACCAGCAATGAGACACAGACAGCTATGGATGACTTTCTTCTGGCTGACTTGGCGTGGAATACAATGGAGTCACAGTTCAGTTCTGTAGAAACACAGACTTGTGCAGAACTGTGTTCCTTTTTTCAAACGTCTGACAAACCAAGCCATTGAGTGCTACTTACTAAAATTACTTTCCTTGTGGTTTGAAATTTAAGTTATTGGGGGTGAGGGGTTTTGGGGAGAGACAGGACCGACCAAGTTACCCACATCGAACTGCTGAATGTAGTTGACCGTATGCAGTTGGCCTAAAAGCCTTTTCATCCTCTTGCAAGGTACTTTAACTGTGTATATGTAATTTCAATATAAACTGTGTGCGCATAGATGTGTATGTGTTTGTAACTTGTAATGTAAGTTTGGACCTTTAAAATGAACTTGGTCATGGTGCCTTCCTTGCTCTAACTCTGTTCCAAAGCTTTGTCACCCTTTCCATTTTAAACCTGAACTTAGGCTTTACTTCTGTCTATACCAGCTTTATTTCTGGCTTAAATGTAGGTTTCCAAAGTCTTGGACCAGAAGCCGACCTGTCTAATTTTTGACACTGCCCCCTCTGCCCCACACCTTGACCTCTGTTTGGAAATGTTTTTTGGCATAATTTTCGGTTTTGTTTTTAAAAAGACTTGTTTGGCAAGGTTTACCAATCCTCACTAACAGATCCCTAACCTCTCTCTCTCTTTCTTTCTCTCTCTCTCTCTCTCTCTCATGATGATGTTGCTGTGTACTACTGTAACTATGTATTTTGGGTATTCCAAAGGAAGGCATTTGTTTGAACTAGTAATATGTCTTGTAAGAAACATAAAGCAAGGAAATGCCTAACATTCAAATGTCTGGGTGAAAGATGAGAACACTAGGATACACTGAAATTTATTTACCGGTTTCTCCACTTTTTGCTTATTTGCAGAAAGATACAGTGGTTATACTATGACCTAACCTTACCAAAGATGTTAGGAACTGTTAATCTTGAGACTATTAAAACCTCTAAAGATACTTTTTGGACTAGATTCCTACCCTTGGGTCCTGTACTTCCAGAGCAAGACCAGCTGTAGCTCCTAAAGCTAAGAGTTTTTGGGTCTGTTGGCTTCCCCATCTAGCAACAGATCTGTTTTGCCTATACTGGACACAACAGCTCCTTATCCCCCAGCTTTCACTGGAAAATTCAGTTGATAATTAAATCATGTTCTCAGGAGTATTTTGTACATCCTTTTCCCCTAACTTTCAGCTCTGATTTTCTTTTGATGTTTCCTGGATGTCATAAATGTATTTGGTAGCATCCAGTTCTGTCCTGGAGATCAGTCAGAAAAGCTAATTCCAGCTATGTTTGGCCTTAAAACCCTTCCTTGGTCCATCACCACCTATCGCCAGTTTGTGTCATTTATGCTGTTGACCTTCAGAGGTGAACTGTCATTCTCCTGTCTCTTTTGGTAGGACCTCCTAGAGCTGCTGGTCTGTGGCTTGAGTTCAGTGTAGCTGTAGGATGTAGATGCAAGTGATCTCACTAATAGGGAATCGGTTTGCCTCAGTACGCTGGCAGAGTCTGTTGCCGTGGTGGTGGTAGAGCTTTGCCCAGTGGAGTTTGTAAAGCAGGGCCTGGATGACATTGGCATGAAAGTGCAAGTGATTTCTAATCCCAGCTGTCAGAATTTGATGCACTGTTGGAGTTTGATAATGGTACAAGTCTTACAAGATACCTTCAGGCATTGCTGCAGTATTCTTCACCAGTGCATCCAAGTCATGGGCTCTGTTTGCTACTCGGTCCCAGGCCTGAATCCCAACGTGCTCGGTCAGCTCGAAGTGGAAGGTTTAATGCATTTGACCAGCACGTCTAATATGTTTGAGGGGATTTTGAGCACTGCTATGTTTACACTAAAGTTCAGTTCCCCAACAACCTGGGTGCCAGGTACGGGGTTGATTGAAACACATCTGTATTTCCCAGCTCTTTCTAGTGCGCAAGATGGGTACTCATCCTGTAGTATCAACAGCAGTGCTGAGGATGGCCGCCTTTGTGATTGAGTGCCTCTTGTTGGCTGTTTTGTCCTGAGGCATCTTTATCCCCAACTGACTATATTGGCATCTCTAAGGAAGCAGTTAGGTTTGCGCAGATTCTTGCAAAGTACTTACAGTTGGCAAATTGTGTTATTTTCTAGAGGTGGAATGGACCTACCTTAGAAGTTGGGGTATTGTGAGAGAGTGCTGGTTCCCGGCAACTCTTTGCTTTAGAAGTTCAGGCTGTTTTGGTGGCTGAGAATCCAAGAGTAGGAATCAGTCAGACATATTCAAAAAGCATATTTGCAGTAGGCTTTCCAGTGCTAGTCACCTAACCAGAATAGCTTTCACCTTTGGTTTAGATCTCAGAATGAATCTCTGTAAAAATCTTCACGAAGGAGTGAATTGTACACGATTACAAATGACTGTGGCCTTTGGGAAACAACCAACACCCTTTTTCAGCAGAAATGAGTTTACTGTGCCTGTTACTGTGAACAGCTAGCTGATGCATTTCTCTAAAATATGTAGTTACCGAACACAATATTTCGGTAGAAGTTCTGAGTTCAGCAAACAAACAAAAAAATACCCCTTTTTCTAATTTCCCCCGGCTTAAAATCTGATATGTTGGTATCAAGTGATATGAATTAAGTGCAATTTTACAATATTTAATAAATGTGCCCTGTGTTTAAAGAATAGTGCTTGCTTTAGTTCCAAAGTTACCTACATCCTTCAAATCTGGTGCAGGAAGCTTGCATCAGAAATAATTATGAAAATAAGGTTGGGGAAACACTAAAGCAATGGATCCCACATCGTGTGTCTTCTATTTGGTGTTCAGTCATAGATATTTGTATTGCAGTAACATGTGCAGACGATAACTAGATTGGTTATTGTACTATGCACTGAATAAGCGCATCAAATGGTTTGTAATGTTGAGTTATAAAAAAAACTTAACATTACTCTTCCAGTAGTTTGACTGGTGACTGCAACTGTCCTTTGGTCCAGTTTGTTGCTGGCTTTTAAGGCAACCCCAACATATTGTAGGTGTCAAGTTGCAGGTTGGTCGCGTCTCTTTGCCACAGCTCTATCACATAATTTAGACGGCAGTAATGGACCAACTAGCAAATAGAGGAGTGGCTTTTGTTTGTTTTCTTTATTTTCAAAAATGAATGATTCCCTGTAGTGTCTTGGTACTGACTTTTGATTTTTTTTCTCCAAGTGGTCTTTGGCATTAATGCATGGACCTTTATGATCCCATTTTTGTTACCTTGCAAGCATTAGCTTTTATTCCTCCTCTTCCTGGACACTCACTTGATAACACTAATCTTGTACTCCAGGACCAGTTTCCATGTGGGAAAAATCTTAATGTAGGATTAGGATTCGCCCTGCTTCTTGGTGGCGGTCATAGCCTGATTCTTTGGAGAACAGTGGGAAAACCTGTAATGCTCCCAGAGCCTGATCAAAATCATTGAAGTTTACAGGAGTCTTCTCTTGACTTCAGTGGATCAAACCTTAATCAATTCCAAGTATCTTAGATATGGAAGTGTCCAAATCTGTAATGGCTGCAGGCTGTAAAATTGGAAATTTTTCCATGCACCTAGCCTGTAAAGTGCCACACTGATTAACGTTCATCTACATTAGCTGTTGGCATGCAAATATAATGCAGGCAATTGCATACATTAATTTAAAACCCTGGGCTCTGCTTCCAAGGGAGAATACTGGCACATATAAAAGTTAAACAAATTCCACGTCCATCTAGAACATTTTGAATAATAACTGCACCTAAGCAAGTTTGGAGGACAGCCTCATACTTTATAGTTCATAAAAAATATTAAGCACAAAGAGATGAAGAACTTGACATCCAGGTGTCTTGCGTTTGTTAGTGTCGATGTTTCATACCAAGCACTGATCACAGTATAAACAGACTTATAGCCATTGAGAGATGCAAGCGTCCACATCCAATTTCACTTCTGCTCTTGTAAATACTTGAGTTGTTAGTATATAAAAAGCACTGTTTTCAGTGCAAGAAAGTGCACCCCTCGCCCAGCCCAGTAGAAATTGGGTGTCTTGAATAAAAGACTGTTATGTGTGCATTAGTGTACACTAAAGTAAAGCAGTTAGTGGCTAAGAAGAAAACACGGGCATTTTCTTCCCAGGTGTTTGAATCCTCAAGCAAAAACACTTCTACAAAGCTTGATCTGAAGCATGCAAACTTGGTCTGTAAAACTGGTTGTGGAGAACCTGTTCAAGCTATGAATAACTCAGGACCCACACCTATGATTTCCCAACACTATTTTTTTGTCATACTTCCCTGAAAAGCTTACTCCCAGGTATACCTTTGCCATGTCTCTTTAAAAGCAAAAGGCTAAATTCTGTCCTGTTAATACGCATGTCAAAAAAACAAAGACAACAGAGGAGACTTCTAAAGAAATAAAGTTGATAGCTCTTTGCTATTTTAGACCTAGTTCCTGGCACTTATGCCTGTGTCTAAAATAAGGAATGTGAATAATATTCATATTTTCAACTTCAAAAAATACGGAACCATTGGCAGGATGGAGGCCCCCACTTGGTGCTTTATAGGATTAAAAATGTAATGTACCTACTACCTGGATAAGGTGGTGTGATTACTACAGTTACACACTCGTTCAGTTTATGTTCTCAACATAAAAGCAAATATCTGATTTTAAAATTGATCACTAGTCTGTAACCGTGTTTTAAATTGCCTGTTACGGTGGGGAAAGTCATTCTCTACTCTGCTTTTAATCTGTTTTGGGCTGCTCTGTTTGACAACGCCATCTTCACTTATCAGCTTTTGTTGTTCCAAATTACTTTACACCAAAAATTTCACTTATGATAGTGAGCCTTGTTGTTTTTCACATTTTGTAATTTTTGTTTTAAAATGCGGCCGTGCTTGTGTTTCTGAGGTATAACAAAGTTACTGCAAATAGGCTTCCATTGATAACTCTTTAAACACTATGTGGTAATGATTTTTTTATTTTATATTTGCTTGTCTGGAATTTTTTTGTCAGTGCATGGTGCAGTTACATGAGTTTTGTAAATTGTTCTCAAACTTCTGAAGACTTTTATTTTATATCAGTTGATGTGAATTAGTCTAGATGCTTGAGTGACAAAATTCAATGGAAGGATTTGCCAGCCTACAGCTACACTGAGTACTCTTATTTAAATGCCATTGCTGTGCAATGAATAGAATCATAAAGCCAGATAGTTCAACTGGGCATTGCCTTGCAATCAAGTTAATACCATGGTGGTGTCTGCGTGCATGACTACTGCTTCATGAAAAATTTGAATTGGACTGTCTGAAATGCTAGCAATCCCTAAATGAGTTTCTTCTGCTTTAAGAGATCAGAAACTTTTTAGCTCCTTCTGATTCACGATCTTCTAAAGTTGCCTTTTATACTGGCTTCTAAGCAGTGTCTGCTGCCTAACTACTGACAGAAAACACTAGATGACTCCCATGTGTTGTTAATGTTTCTGCAGTGGCCTTCCTTCATTTCAGAGTGGGTGACTTAGTGCATGCATGATGCTTCAAGTACTCGCAGAGCTGACTACTCAACGCATGTATTTGCAAGTGCACATATGGGAAACAGGCTCAGCCTGCTGGAAAATATGGCGCATATTCTAGTTATGGAGCATTTACCCGATAATGTTCCAGTTAAGTATTCGAAATGGGTAAGTACTAAATCCCAAAAGTGCATCTTTCCTACAGCATGTTGAAACACACTTCAAATACAGTTGGCAAATGTCATCAGAAATGTCTTATTCCATCACAGTAGGACTCTTCAACTTCTAATGGACAGACTGTTTTCAAGGGGTTTTTCTGTTTGTCGTCTTTTTTTATTTTAGCCAGTAAACTTGCAACGAAAGTCAGAAATAAGCTTTTTTTTGTTTGTTTGTTTTATATACAACTTACAAGTGACAATCCAAAGAAGGAGTGTTGTCTTAGTAATAGTTGTGAAATGTTTCATATGCTAATGCATGCAAAGAGAACCCTGTGCCAAAAGATTTTTTTCATGTCTCTCATTACTCTCTGAAGGAAGCTGGAGTGTTACATAAAGCTACAACTTATTCACAACAGTGTTGAAACATTTTTGTTCAATGAAGTCCTTAAGTACTTCTGTAAATTATGCATATTTTGGAATAAACTTTATTTCAGTCTGTGTTTTGCCTCGTTGGTAGTATTTTTTTCATTGTGGTCATGCTTGAATTTCCAAAAGAAGGTAGATAATCACTTGTATTGGCTGTACAAGAAATAGGGGAGGAGATCATTTCTGAATGAGAATTGTTTTTGTTGGCATTCTATATAGAAGGATACTCTGCTGAATATCAAAGATGCCACTACAGAGTGTTTTAATTGGGGTAGGGAAGACGAGCGAGGGAGTGGCACTGTGTAGTCCATATATAATAAAGTCGTTGAATCGCTGCTCGCGATGCAAAATGAAACTTGGAACTATGGAGCTATACCTGGCACTTCCATGAAGATAATAGTTGCGGTGTACAGGACCAAACTCACACTTAAAGTCTCTGTCTGCAGCCCGCTGCTCTTAGAGAATCCGTGGTGTAAAGCAGGAAAATTCTCAGGGCCTATTGTTTAAGAACCTGTAGAAACTTCTAATCATCATCAACTAAAAATAGCAAAAAATAAATATGTTGCTTTCCTGCCTTTTCCTATTGGTTTCAGTTGGATATAGCCTTCTCCTGCCTGCTGTGTGGTGGTGAGGTGTATTAATAAACAAGTGCTACATTACTCTACAAAGGTTATTGGGTAAGGTATTGAAGTAATCCATATTGTACACAGAACAGTGCCACATAAGATGCCTAGCTTGGTTTCCCAGTGATTTACCAGCAGGTTTTTAAAACGGCTGTCAGATGCAGATGGCAGTTTATTGCAGTAAAGTGCATGGTCTTGACTACAATTTGGGCTGCTGGAAGTTACTACAAAGCTGATAAACTGTCACAGGACATTGCAAAGAAAATGGAGAGAATGAGGAAACAAAGGAAAAACTTTATAGAAAAACCTCAAATTCACTGCGAGTCCTGCACCATGGCATCATACAGTGACGGAACAAAGATTTGCAAAAGATAGCAGATAAACAAAAATTTAACCAAATTACGTTTTGAAATGCATATAGAAAGTGGATTTGTCATGGCTGTATGAGATCCATAAATTTAATGTTAGTCATTTGGTAAGGTGGAAGTCAAGTTTTACTCCTGTCTCCAAATTTTAGGTAAAACTAGAGATTATGGTATAAACAAAGCAAAACCTATAACCAAGAGACGCCAGAGTAACTTGCTTGTGCTGCTTTTGAACCATTTATTCATTCTCTGACCTTCTCCCCTGCTTCCCTCCCCCCCCCCCCCCCCCCGGATACTTTTGTGTGCAAAACACTAGCTTACACTTGTTGTTGCCCCTGGTGTACCACTGTACCGCTATCCTGCGTAGGTGCCCAGTATTCAAGGGAATAAGAACAAATAGAAGTGACTGAGCAAAGCTATTTTGTTACTGGGTGTCTGCCATGTTTGGGCTGTATGTGAAACATTGTCAGGCCACGCTGGGGTACAGACAAGCTCTGGTACAGTCTTGCACAGGTGCAAATCCAGCAGCATTAAACCTGAGACATGTTAGTACTGCATTTGTCCAGCTCAGCTCCATTTTAACCATGGCAAGACTGACTTGTATCAGTGCACAAGAAGCTGTACATTCGCCGGTGTAGCACCCCTATGAACAAGGACACAATGCTCTGATCTCAAGAACGTGCAACCAAAGTGCTGAGAGTCTGCTGCATCTTACTGAACAAGTGCTACATTTATCGCCAGAGGGTGTTATGTTGAAGTTAAAGTAATCCTTATTGTGTATAAATGCATGCACAACTTTGCGATCTGGTTTAGTGTCTATCCTGTGAGGGCTGCCTCTTGGTTACTTGTGTAAATTGACATGAATTGTATTTAATGCAGGGTGTGCATGGGAATGTTGCATTGGGTTTCACAGACTTCTTCTGAGTGCCTCGTCTGTCAGTTCCCCCTCTTTCCTGATGGCAGCGAGAAGGTTACCAGATTTCACAAATGCTTTTAGATAGGCAGTCGGTGTTCAGCAGTTAGCTGGGAATTGAGTCTTAGGTTAAGGTATCTGAAGCTGTTTTTGAACGCTGCATATCCAAAAGAGAGACTGCACAGAACCACTTCCAGTGACTGTGCTGTACATGGGAGGAGTTGAATTCTGTCAATTAGACTGGTGGAGTTATATTGGCCCAGCTGAGCAGATTTGACCCAAAGATCCGAAATCATAGACTAAACCAGAGGGCAGGTACAAAATGGTCAAGAAGGGCCAGAAACTCTAAAAGGCAGCATGGGCATTGTGATGCCTCTGACTGTTAAGGGTGGCAACAGCTGTCCTGAGAGACATATATTTTTGACCTGCTTCCTTTAGTTTCACGGCATGTGTGGTGACTTCTGCTATTATTGAAAGCAGCCCTAACAAAGCTAGGTTTGGTATTCTGCATTCCCCATTTGCGGAAACTGCATGGTGGCAAGCTGACTGTTCTCTGTCCAAGCAAGAGAGCTAGAAACAGGTGCAGTATTTTTGTCTGATGTAAAAGCATAAAGGCAGTGAAAGTGTTTGGGGTTGACATGCAAGAATGAGGCCTCTGGGAGCCAGTGATCAAAAAGTGCTGTATGATGTTTTACTTTCCGTATGGCGGTGTTCGTGTCATCATCGGTTTCCTTTTCAACTGTTTGCTTGGGTTTAGTACCAGGAACACAGGCATCTGTTTCAGTGGAAGTAGCACTGAGACTTAGATCATTACCCTGAATAGAAACCACACTGCTTTTCTCTACAGACGGGTCCAGCGGCAAAAAGGGAGCTGCTGTTGTCTGTGGTAACAGGACCAGTAATGTCTTCAAAGTAATGCATGTCAGGCTTTCATAAGGAGAAAAAAGGCTTAAGCGCAGTAGACTCGTACCTTTTTGTTCCGGGGATTTGTTTATTTGCTTTTCTGGTTGCCTCTTATTAAGTTCCTTTCTCAGCATATTTTTCTTTTCATCTTGGAAAGTCCGACTAGAACATGATTTGTTGATATGCCTTGCTCCCTTGGAGCCATTTGTCATAGCAACACAACTAAAAGGCTCAATGCAATACACTGGAACTTTTTCTCTTCCCAAAACAGTATCTCCTACAGCACATGTAGGCAATTTGAAATTAATTTTTGATGTTTCTGTAGACTTAGTTGTCTGGACCACATCTCTGTCAGTAGCTGGCACAAGATCTATGCATGATAGGTAAGTAACTGTTTTGCTTGCCATTGGTTTTTTGGACTTGCTGTGTACTTGATGACAGGTGATAGGAGCATGTTTACCCCAACTTTTTACCTGGAACACAAAAGCATATTAAATCTCCATTACTAATAGTAAAATAATTAGCCAGGTAGTTGCTAAGTGGTATTATGGTATTGACATTAAAAGAGTACAATTCTTTTGAATCCTCTCTGGGATCAAGACATCCCAGATGTAGAGGACTTGTTCTTCTCTACCTCATTTAAAAAAAAAAATCCTTTTCTCGGTTCTTCTGACAAGTCCAAGTTTGCAATACAGGCTATATAGCCCACTTCACTCGCGTCTTTTGGGGCAGTTATCCACAAGCATGACTATATTCCATGGTTGTCACCTCCTGATGCCTATCCTACTCTAGTAGAAACCTCTTCCTACCACTCACATGGATTTGACATTTTGTCAGTTTTATAAAGGCTTCAATGACCACCCTTTGTTTTACCATGAAATCCTCACCTGTAGGAAGCTGTAGCTCACTCATGAGGAAGATTCTTGTAACTTCTCACACTTTAGGACAGTCTAAATTCACCCAGGCAGCTATAAAGTGCACGTATGCATTCTGCTTGTCAGGGCAATTTCTGATTTCAGCCTTACCATCCTACATCCAAAACAGTTCCACTGAAGACAGTGGGCAGAAGGAAATGGGGGGTCTTATTGTTGGTGCACAGGACGTGCAAGGCTATGGATCTGGGTTCTGTTCTAGACTCCTGTCACAGACTTCCAGTGTGGGACTTTGTTCAAGTCTCTTGCCCTCTGTATGGCCCAAGTTCTGCATCTGTAAAATTGATATGTCCCCATCCTATATGAGTAGTGTAAGCCTTGATTCATTATTGTTTTGAGTGCTCAGATGCCACTCAGTAATAAAATGCTTATAAAATCAGAATTTTATATTGTCCGAGAAGTAACTAATAGGCCTGCTGCCTTTGAAACATGAGGGCTATGGGACACTATGGCTTACTACAGTGCAAAATGTTGCTGTTTATAATTATATAAGGGAGTAATTGAGTATATTAGAGCTCCGCTGAGTTGCGGTGTTATCCTGATTTTGAATTTGCACAATGGATACACAAGCAACGCATTTCCCTTTACAAACTGAAAGATGACAGTCATTTTCTCTGGGTATTGGAGAACAATTATTTCCTTTTACTATTCTATTTGCCTTTCTACTCTACTTATTCTACTACTTTACTTGCTAAATACTTGTATTCATTAATATTACTTGCATTTTACTAAAGCTGCTGTTAACATGCCCAATGAAATTCTTTTGTTCCTAAATCCTAACCAAGTTAGACCTAGAAAAGTAATGAGTCCTCATATAGTGAAAACAAAGTACAAAGAAAAACTGAGACATTTGGCTCTTTTAAAACATATCTTTAAGAGTAACTTGTTAATACACCCATAAAACTTGGAACCAAACCTCAATTTTTTTACTCTACCCTCAAACTTTCCTATAATGTCAAATTGTTTACCCTATGTTGTGTCTTTGACATCCAGTGAATGCTACTTTATTTAATTACTCTAGTGAACATAGATGTTTGGGCTTGCTTCCTCTTAGTTGATAAATAATACAGTAGGTCACTGTTCAGTATTCTCACTGAGGTGTGGTATTTTCTTTTGTCTGAACAATAAACAACATCCTTCCTTTCCAAACTTGGAAATGTTAGTATTTACATCTGCCTTGTACATATGTTTCAATATTGCTAGCTAGTGAACAGCAAATAAAGTATTGTGTGAGGACCAGAAGCAGATATGTTTGAACTGTTTCACCTTTTGTACTGTTTGTTGTTTGTGAAGGATTTTATTTGATCTTAATTAATTTCTACTTCTTGCCTCGGAACAGGGTTTGTTTTGTTTTGTTTTAAAACTAAAACATTATGTTGGAGACTAGGAGAGAGACAACTTCCCTCTGCAGCGCTGCTTCGGAAACATCCTAGATCAGGGGTCATCAACCTTTCAGAGGTGTGGATTGCCAATCTCTCTGCCCACCACTGCTTAAGAGGCGCCACTGAAAACCATGGTGAACACCAATCAGAAACAAAAAGTTGGCACGGGCACAGAGCAGGAGGGTTTCTTGAAGTCACCGCTTTAAAGCAGCCGCTTCAGATCAGCCCCCTGCACGCATGCAGGCAGCCAGATCCAGCCCACGGCTGATGATCCCTAGATAGACTGTCCCCCGATAGATTCGTGGTCACGTAGATACATTGTTCTGTAGTAAAATGCATCTCCTCGTTTACACAGTGGCCTATGGTATACATCGGTGGTGAGTTTCATCCTAAAGCTTTAATTAGAACCATAAAAATAAGGCAGATCACATTTTGTCTTCCCATCTAGGAAGTTTCTAAATCACCGAGCAAGTAAAGATGCAGGATAACAGTGCAAACCTGGAAGGATCTAAGGACAATTCTAGCATGAGCACCGGGGAAAAGAAAACAGACTTTGCCAAGGTCTCTGTGCTGTCAAGATATGATCATGCCTATGAAACTGTTATGACAGACTTGTTGACTTTCCACTGCCTTGATTCCTAGAAACTACTAAGATAAAATGGACCTCAGCTGGTCACTGGTTGAGACTTTCAAAGGCAGCAAGGGCTTTTAAATGAGCAAAATGCTGACTGCTGCAGTCAGCTCTGACTTCCTTCTACAACAGGAGAGGTAACTTACAGTCAGATTTCTTTATAAATAACTCTTTTCTCCTCTTCCTACTCTAATATCATGGGCACCACGTAGAGAAACAGTCATATTCCTGATTCAAATTACAGCATTTGTAAACCAACCTTAGAATTCAAAGTACTTGGTTATTCTATGCAACAACATGCTGTAATAGCCATTATTTCACAGAACAGAAGGTAGGTAAAGCAGCGCTCACTTTCACGCGTCTGTCTGGGCTTATATGTAAATGTCTCTCACAACTGCTCTCAGATTCCCACACTCGGTAATAAGCAGACACAGTGGAATACCTGATACTAACTGCTATATAAAATCACTTAAAATTGTAATGAATTGTGGGAAGCCTTTACTGGAAAGATGAGGCAAATTCCATCATCATTATTCAAGTGCAAGCCCTAGTGAAATAGCTTACAAATTCTGTAAGCAGACATGACTATGGATTTTTTTTTTCCCAGTAAGGTTTGCAAGATTTGAATCAGTCATGACGCTTTCCTTCACAATTATTTGGAGGTGATCTCACTACTCCATCCCGAACTCATACAAAAATATTATCCGCAGAATTCTACATTCTCTATTTATCTATACCAAGGGATGCAATTTGCCTCCAGTCACTGCTCCAAGTTTTTAAACAGTGCTGTTTATTTACCATAATCACTGGAGTAAAACTTAACTAGAGAAAGAAAATAATCTCAGGGTAGAGCTGAGTGCTTAGCACCGAAATTTAGTACAGTGAATTCTCCAAAGTAGGGATTAAAAATATGGGCTTTCAGTAGGTGGCACTCTTCTCTCCAAACTAACAATGCTTTATTGTTTCAAGTGCTATCTTGTAGATCTGAGAGGTCAAACTGAAGGCCTAACCATATTATAAAGCAGTGATGGCTTTCTTCATGTCAGAATAAAAAAAAATTCTCTTTTTACTAAGAGTTTCTGAAACCATTTACTCTTCTCTGGCTATAAAGGTGAGTGAAGATATTAAGCTGCATTAGATCAGTGGTTCCCAACTTTTTTTATACTACGGACCAGCAAACTCACTCAAAGAACTTGGTGGACCGGGTATAGAAACAATTTAACTTTGCATATTTAAACCTGCAAATTATTTAAATTGGTAAATTTGTAAATATTTAAACTTGTACCCGGGTGTGGGTTGGGGCACCGCAGCCGTAGGCACCAAGACTGCAGGGGAGGGGGCTACACAGGCGGTGGCCTGTGGGGACTCAGCTGGGGCTGTCTGGGAAGAAGGGGCTCTACTACCTTCCTTAGGAGCAAGCAGCAGAGCCGCCTCGCGGGCATTTCCCCACCTGCATGGCCCCGCTCCCAGCCATGGGCAGGGTTGGGGTGGGGGTCCTGCCCGGCCTGCCCTGGTGCAGGCTCTAGTACCTGCTGCGTGGGCAGCGCCTTGCTAGGTGCAGCTATGGCAGCGGGAATGGGACGGAGCTGGCCGTTTCCCTCCCGGGGCTGCCCTACTGCCCGGTTTTAACCCTGCACGTGGCTGCCAGTAATGGAAGCTGCTCACCCAGGTGGACAGACGGGGGTCCGAGTGAGGGATGCATGCCACAGCCCAGCAGCCAACCCTTCATGGCCTGATGGTTGGAAACCTCTGCATTAAATGGTTACTATGAAGATATTTGTAAACTGGTTTGGGAGTAAAAGAATTAAATAAATGTGACAGTACCAGTCAATAGTTAGACCTTCTTAAATCTAGTAGTTGCTGATCCTAGTCTTTGGCATAAAAATAAAACGCTTTCTATTCAGAATTTTGAACGCTATTATTTTTATCCTATTGCTTTCAAGATTGTATCAAATGCATCAAAATAGGGAGAAAATTACATGGCACAAAATCTGATTTGTAGACTGAGGAACATGTGGTAATGTGCATGCGAAAAAGCATTTAATCTAAACTGCCATACTTTGTGAATGCAAAGTTACTTTAAATTATAGCAGCAAATTAAAATCAAACTAAAACACCGTTCACTTAACAGACAGACAAAACTTTATCTAAAAATCCCTGTTCACTAAAAAAAAATCAAGGGTTACATGCTAGTCAAATGTGGAGGGAAGCAAAGAAACATAAGGAGAAAATCTTAAATCATACTTAAAACCAAATGAAAACAAAAAGTGGTAAATAACAACTGATCACTTGGTCATGGCACTATAGTAAAGCTGCTGTTCTCCGAGTCAGTTGAGGACTATTTCTAATGCATTTTTTTCAGCTCCAGTTCAGCAAAGTGCTTGTACAAATGCTTCAGGCCTATGGAACTCAACAGAATTTAGTCCTGTGCTTAAATTAAAACCACTCTTAAATGCCTTGCTTCCTAGACATGGCCTTAGGAATGTACTTGAAGTTAAGCTTAGGTGCTCAGCTGGATCGGGTACCAAAATTCCACACAAGATCATACCACGCAAGGGCTGCATCCGAATTAGGAAGCTGCATTTCAGCCACCTCCAGAACAAAGGAGTCTTCTGCAGCTATCATACTGCACAGTATAGTCAGACAGATCTTTAACCTGTTAACTGAAAAGTAAATTATTTGAAAGTAAAGGATAGTGTTATAAACTGACACACCAATAACACCTACAAAATTCACAAATAGTTGTGCTCAGAAGCAGAATTTAGTGTGTATCTTCAATTTTTTTCTCATACAATGAGCCCAACAAATACAAAAAAAAAAAAAAAAGGCGTGGAATTACAATATAAAAAACGTTAGGTCAGTTTAGAAGACAGTGCAGTTAGTGTAACGTGGCTGACCGTTAAGGAGGGCAACAGTCCAGAAAGCAGTGAGAGCTCCTGTATCTTTGATTCACTTCCTTGCTTGGCCTCGGGATTTCTGCTTCTGATGTTGCTGGTGAAAGGGCTCCTGATTGCCTCCTGTTTTGTGTACTGTAATCCTTTTGTTTGCAGAAACTGCATGCTGGCAAGATTACAGTTTTTTTTTAAAGTGACAGAATTAGAGGTGGTTGCTGTCTTTTTATCTGGCAAAAGAGCACAATGCCAGTGCAACGGCTCAGGGTCCCCTTGCAGAAAGGAGGCCTTTGGCAGGCTTGGGACAAAGGATGATTCATTCATTTTCATTTTCTCCTTCACTGTTGCGCTCACAACATCGATTTCTTTTTCCCCCCTTTGCTCTGTTTGAGATTCATGACCGTCAGAAGAAGTCTCTTCTGAAATACCATAGAGCATTTTTGTCTGGGAGAAGACTGCTTTATTCTTCTTTAAAGAAGCATCTGGGTTATTCTTGGGAGTAGCATCTTTCACTGGTGGCAAAACTAGCAATGGCTTTAACAAAGACTCGGCGTTATCAGTGTCAGGCACGCTAGGCTCATTGCTTTTCCTATCTTTATGTTTCAATGTTTCTAGGTGCCATATGCTGAATTCCTTTATTGGCAAACTTTTCTTTTCACCTTGGAAGGCCTGAGGGGAGTGAAACTTGCTATTACAAATTTCTCTCTTAATACCGTCTGTGGTAGGACCGCAGATGGCCTCACTTGAATGGACTGGAACCTCTTCCTTTTCTGACGCAGTCTCCTCTGTAGTACATGTACTGAACTTGCTGTTAGGTTTTGATTGTTCTTTTGCAAGCTTGGTTTCTAGGACCAAACTTTTTTCAGCGGTTTGCATCATATCTAAGCAAATCAGGCAGTTGTTGTTGACAGCTTCACTTGCCCTGGATTTCTTGACTTTCTTTTGCAGCTGAAGGCAGGCAAATGGAGCAGCTTTACCCCAGCCTTGCACCTGGCAAGAGAGAAGAACATTAAGTCTAACTTAGTTAGATACTTCACAAAAAAGGAAATGAAAGATGTATGAATCATTGCTTGTACCTAACACCACTCATGCTATTCAAGTTTTTACAGTAGAACAAAAAAAACAGGTTATTTTGTGGTTTTGGAAGTCCCATTTAAGGTGTGTACTCCAAGAAGTCTTAAACTGGCTAGGTTTTCATGACTGTCTTGTTTGCAATGGTAGTCTACCCAGAGGCTGATTCTGAAAGCCTGACAGCAAATAAACCTAAGATAATAACAAATCAAATTATGTTCTCTCTAAAAGAGAGAAGTCCTCTCCCTCCACTGTGGATTTGATTTGGGTTGTATCACCTTTCCTTAACTCCTCCAACCAAGGGTATAAAAGAAAACTGAACTACCAGTTTATATAACTAAGAGAAATAATTAAAACACCAGTTTAAAATGGAAGGCATCGCCTCCACTAAAAAAAAAATGAAATAAAATAATTATGGACTCTACTGACCAAGTAAATCAAAGCCAAGTAAAATCTACTTGGATGTAGATCTAGAAGAGCATTTGCTCACCTGGTATTGAATGATGCTTAAAGGTAATAACCCCATTTGGCAAGTGACTAAGTGGAATAGATTTCTCTACAGAACTTTATACCAGCAACCTACATCTCCACAGTGAATTTTATACAACTCACACTGACTCGTACCACTATTGAAAGAATAACTATACACCAATGGTGTAAACTTAAGACAAAAAAAAGACAGAATACAGCCAGAAATAAGTGATTACGCAGCCAGTCTGGGAGAAGAGAAAAGTTAAGCTACTTTGTTCCACAGTCCAGAACACAAGAAAGGGAATGATTTCCCCACATTTATTAAGGGAAAACATTAAAAAAAAAACGATGACTGGAAAGGAATGAGGGAAAATAAAGTACTGTTATACAGTAAAATGCTACTAAATCATCATAATAGAAGCTAGCAATAACTGGTCACAAGAAATTGTTCCATGGGCAATGGCGAAGCCCTGCGCTTGGTGTCTAACAAAAATCTGATCCCCGCATCCCATGTGTTTATGTCAGTATTTTGTACCTGAATAAATTCCCTCTATATTATAAATCTAAGAACTGTGGGGTGGTTATTAAAAATGAATGTTAAATACAAAATTCTGTGCCAGAACTAAAACCCAAGCATATAGGAATATATTTCTGAACATAAATGAATCCCAGTTAAATCCCTTTTTTTTCCCTCCTGTGTCCACCTGAATTCTCTGGAAGAAATAAAGGTCCTATTCTCACAATACTGCCTACATAAGCCTTTTATTCCTATAATTATCAATGTATTTATTTTTCAAGTAGTCAGTTTGCTATTTCTATTGGGGTGCAGACTGGCAACTTCTTATAGTTAAGTCTATGTATGCTTTACCTGGAAACCAATGGGAAAAAGTTGCTATAGTAAAACTTAAGGTTTAAAATCCTGAAAAGATGGAGAGAGAATAAACTAAAAAAGATGCACTTTAAAGACTTAAATATTTAGGTCTCAATTATATCAAAGATGTGGTTAGTCATGAATAAGGCAGGGTAGAGAGTTGCAACTTAGACTAATTCAGAGGTGCATAAATTTTGTACGCAACAACTCACTTTTGTAAGAACTTCGGCTGCACGTGTCTACTGAAATCAAGTAATCAAAAACAAACACAACTGAAAAGAACACATGTTCTGTACGGCAAAGATTATTTTATATCCTTACTGTGCTATAAAGTGTTTCATTCCAATATCTGTGAAACCCGGTCGACTAGTGGTTTTTAACTATGAAAACGGGTTTTTCTATTTGAAAACGTCTATCCTACAAGCAGCTGTTGACACCAGTTAGAAGACTGCACTGCTGAGAAAATCTAGCAATTTAATACTAGGAATCTTGACTATATCTGCCTTTCAATTTTTAAATGTGTAGAAATAATTGACCATGGTTGTCTTAGAAGCTTCTAAATCACTGTATAAGGGCAAGGCACAAACCCCTATAATATCTGCTAGTTATCTATTATTAGTACAGTTTGGTTCAGCTTTTACTGTTACTGTAGGAGAGAAAAATATCTTGAGGTTTTTAAGACTTTTTGGTATTACATAGACCTGTGCCATAGTGCAGTGCCACGCGAAAGCCGTGTGCCTGGGGCAGCTCAGGTGGCCACCACGCTGATTGTGACAGTGCGATCGGCCAGTGCTGGGGCCGTGGCTATTTTTGTGCCCTTGCCCCCCTGCAAATGCAGCACCCAGGGCTGCTGCCCCAGTCACCACCTGCTTCCCTCCCTCCCCCCCTTACACTAGAAGTGCCAAATGTAAAAATGGTAACTGTAGAGCTCCTTTACCAAAGCTGGAAACGTAAAGGAAAATGATCAGTCCTGAAAACAAAAATGGCAAATGACCAGCTCGCCAAAGCTTTTTATTCTTAACGGGTTCAGAGGAGCACCTGCCACTTCCGTCTACTGTAAAAGCTAATTTCTGATTAGTAGATTTTGGTTCTTTTGTACAGATTGATCTTGATGTTTCATTCTGCTACCCAAAGTGTTCAACGAAGGGTTTGTCGTCCTTTCTTTCCTCTTGTTCTCCCCTCTCTGCAGCTAGAGCAAGACACCTCATCCAAAATCATAGCCAGCATCTCTGAAACGTTTTCTCCTTAATTAGTATCCTTGATCCACTTACTTAAATGTTACCTTTCTTTTGGTGCCAGGGGCCATCCAGGCCAGATGGTAATGCAATGGGATTTGAAAAACGTTATCCCCAATCCCAAAAACCACGCCATCTGCCATGCCACAAGTTCAGGATCTGCACTTTGTGGGATCTGGGACAAAAGTCCTCTGACCGTGTTGTCTGCCCAGGATCTTAAAAGTGGTGCACACGGGGTGGGGGGATCTTTGAAGCTGCATTGTACAGCCTTAACCGTGCCCCCCCCAGTGCACGGGTCAGGTTAAGGCTCCACAGTGCAGCTACAATGCCGCTTCGGCCCGCCACACGCTTGAACAAAAGCAGCAGCGTACGAACCCGCCACAACAGTGCTCAACATGAAATGTCGGGACATTACATGCGAGACGTTGTCGTGGCTGGTTCCCCACTGCGTGGCGCAGGACACGACAGCATGTCCATGTCGTTGACACCATGAATACAACGTGTGTGGGGGGGGAGGGACCCGATCCCGGCCCCCAGGGCCACTCACC